CCGAGGAGCAAAGAGCAGCGAGATATGATAGAGAGTATGTTGAGTTCATTCAATGACAAGAAGAAGCGGCACCACAAAGACCCGACACTCTTCCACTTCAAAGCTCGTGTGCCTACTCACTCTCGATCACGTCCTAATACTCTGCAGAGGTATGCTACTGATTGGTGGAGTGACCTCACAGTGGTGGCGGCTACTACAGGTCTAGTGGCTATGACCCGTCCGTGGCAGTGGTTCTCATCCAAATTGGTGTTACACGTTCGGATGAGCGAAGATCTTTGGGAGATGATGATGATGATGCTTTGAGTGATGCCGAGATCGAATCTGACTTGCAGCCCCTTTTGTCCTTAGTTTGTCATTGTTGGACCTTTGTGGTGATAGATGATAAAGGGGGAGAGAGACTAATTAAAGCTTCGGGATTTTTGTTTCATTTGTTTATCTTTGTACCTGAAGATATGCAGGCTGTAGTTTTTGTTCATGAGCTTCATTGATGTATGTTGAGTTTGAGATTGCATTGTATTATGTGAGAGATGAGACTCGCTTATGCTTTATCTATGGATCTATTGAGATATAATCTTTATTATCTGTGGCTTGTGGACTTGAGAAAATGTGTAATGAGTGCTATGTGTGACATACATGTGTTGTATTTATTTTTCATAAGGTCTATGCATGATATAATGAAAATATTTGATGTGATGTCTTTATATTTATTCTTGTGTGATATATCCTGTCATATGCATCACAATTCTATTTTGTCACACACACATGCACCCCACGGATGCAATGATTTAGGGGGAGTCTCCTATATGTTTTAGTATGTGCAATTGACAAGTCAAGGTCATTTTGTGAATTCCAATCACAAGCACATATTAAGGGGGAGCCTCTTATAAATCATTGAACCCAAAAGCTTAAATGTTTATATTCTTTTATAAGCTTTAATCAAGTTGTCATCAATCACCAAAAAAGGGGAGATTGAAAGTGCATCTAGCCCTTTAGTGGGATTTGGATGATTGAATGACAACGTGATTAAAGGTCCAACCTATTTGCTAAGTGTGGACAGGTAATAGGTTATCTCACAGGTACTTAATGAAAGCCAAAATGATGTGTTGTTGTATAAACAATCTAGTTCAAGCATAAGACAACAATGCAAATGGAATTCATGCAAAGGCTTATCTGTTGTGGGATTTCTATGTGCTATGAGAAAGCAAGCTCTTAAGTATTAATTAATGAGACATGAGGGATTGCATATGGAATGGTCTCATATTTGAAGCTTGCTAAATTGAAATGAAAAAGACAACAATACAAATGAATGGATGATTCAACACAAGATGTGACTTGATGGCTTGAGATGGTGAAGATAGCAAGGAAAGGCTTCGAGGTACTAAGCAAGGGTGAAGGGCAAGCGACGGCTTGGCAGCCGAAGAACCTAGCTAGGGTGAAGAAGAAAGTACTTGCATTTAGTTGAGGTACTAATCAAGCTACGATGGTCATATTGATGTGAAGGATCAAATCACTATTAGAGTGTTTGATAGAAGTGACTTGATACATTTGGGATTATTCAAATTTGATGAATAGAATCAAGTCACGTGCTCAAGATGGCTATGCTCAAGTGAAAAAGATCAATATCAACATGTTGGCACCCTCACTTGATGAAGATTGGAATACACGGCTTCGGTTCAAAAACAAGAGCAACTCAAAAGGTCTAAATCCGTTATACTTTTAAACTTGAGTAAATAGGAATGCCGTACTATTAAGAGGGATGCATCATGTTGATAGATAATGTTTCATAAGTGATCAAGCCAACCCAAGTGAGTTTTGAGTATTTGAGCGACAAAAGAGCTAACTTTATTTTTGCTGTTCTCGCAATACCGGACGTGTTCGGTATTCATACCGGACGTGTCCGGTATTTACCTAGCAGTTGTAAAATTGTTGTTCTCGGGTTGGTTCGTCGGGAGTTCCGACGTAGGTCGGGAGTTCCGACGGTCGGAAGTTCCGGCAATGGTCGGGAGTTCCGACGACTCGCAATTTAAATAATTTGGAGAGTTCACTGTCCAGGTCATACCGGACGTGTCTGGTATGGACGACCAGATTCCAACGGCTAGTTTTCCAAAGCCTTGAGGGTCGGGAGTTTCGACGTAAGTCGGGAGTTCCGGTATGCATCGGGAGTTCCGACACCTCACTAACTTTAACTCAGTTACATGGTTTTCAAATTTGCTGAGGATCGGGAGTTCCGACATGAGTCGGGAGTTCTGGCGGTCGGGAGTTCCGGCATTCATCGGGAGTTCCGACGCCTCACAACTTCACTGTAACTTAGTTACCGTTGGGGCAGTGTAAGTCATACCCGGACGTGTCCGGTATTGCAACGGCTATAAAACGGCTAGTTTTTCAAGGGGGCTATAAATACCCCCAAGCCTCCACCTTTGGAGGCTGCTGATTCTGCTGATATAGACACACGTTTTTGAGCCTTGCCAACTCTCATAACCCCTCTCTTAGTGAGTGTGTGATCCAAATTGCAAAATCAATTTGTGGGTTAAGAGAGAATTTGAAAAAGAGAGCAAGCCACCACTTGAGCACTTGTGCATATTGTCAATCTCGTGATTCGCATTTGTTACTCTTGGACTGTTCGGTCCTAGACGGCTAGGCGTCGTCGAAGAGCAACCGAGAGATTGTGGTTGCTTCGGAAAGTTTGTAACAGTCGATTCCGCCGCCTCGGAATCATTTAGTGGAAGGAGGAAAAGGAGTTGGAAAAGACTCCGGCTAGAGTGACCTTCGTGGTACCCTCTAGGGCTGACCTTCGCTGGGTCGCCCGCAGCCCCCTCAACGGAGAGTAGGACTCGAACGAGTCCGAACTTCGGTAAAACAAATATCGTGTCTTAAATCGTATTTCATTTGATATTTGTGTTGCTCCAGCTCTTGTGCAGGTTCTCTGTGTATATTGTCATCTCTAGTAAGTGCCTACAGTTTGGTTCGAAGATAGATATCGAAAGGAGCAAGTTCGGGGCTGATCCACAGAAACCGTGTATACCGGACACGTCCGTTATTAGAGCTCTGTGCTGAAAATATTTATTTTCAGTTCTAACTTTGTGTTGCAGGGTTGTAGCTTCTAGATATATTTTTTATACCTTGTTTACTCTGTGGCTAACTTGTGAGGGGTGGTAGTACTCTTAACTTGGAGTTTCCATTTTGGAAACTCTCCTTTCTAATTGTTTTCGTATTTAAAGGTGTTAATTTTCGGAAACGTCTATTCACCCCCCTCTAGGCGACATCCTAGTTCCTTTCACCTGCGTTATTCAAAGCAAAGATTTGTGGCACCAGTCCACTCACAGGGTAACGGGCCCCTATGTGCGGACGGGGTACAATGTTCTCTATCTTAATGCGAATGCTTGGGGGCGCATGCTATCCCCTGCAGTCCATGTTTTTTTTAAATATTGTGGGGCCTTTAAATATGTTGTTATGATTTTAATTATTTTATTCTTATATGTGAAATACTTTGGTAAAAAAAATTACTAGCTTTGTTACTTTGGCAAATAAATATTAACGAGTGATAATATATATTACAAAAATGGCGAATAGTGTTATGGAAAAAAAATAATATTGCTAGATTGAGTACCCATATTCGTTAGCTTGTTCTAATGCATCTCCTAATTAGTAAATTAGACCTCAATCCCCTTGCACTTTTCATATTTTGAACACATAAAAGCTCACAACCGAACAAATCAGTAATCCGTTTGTGTGCTTTTGTACAGCTTCGTGCAAGTCTCCTGTGGTTGGTTTTTTTTTGTGTCGAAAAGATAAGAAAACTCAGCCATTTAATGTATGTATCTAAGGCTGAACAAAAAAACTCAGCTCGTTAGCTTGCTCGACGCTCAGCTCGTCAGGATAATGACTCGAGCCAAGTTAAGATTTTAGCTGGTTTACTATAACAACGAGCCAGTTTGAGCGCGAGCCCGCTCGCAAGCCGCTCACGAGTTGAACCGCTCTTCCAGGAAAATAAGCCCACGGGTCAGACTACCGCCGGAGCCACACACGGGCCACAGGCCCACAACCCTCACGCACTCGGCAGTCCTAGGGGGCCGAACTGGATTATTTACTGTTCACGCTGGAAAACACTGTTTAGTTTGGAAAGTTGCGAGAGACAAATACTGCTCCTGCTGGAAAAAAAAAACAGAACAAGCCGGTGACCGACCAACCAGAACTCTCCTTTCTTTGGCTGCTCACACGCACAGCACACTGCCGCCACCAAGCCCAATAATCCATCATGAGGCCGCGATCATGAGACACCAACACGATTATGCGAGCCCGCGTGATCATGGCCGGCGACGAGGCGAGACGCGACGCGAGTCAGGCGACCGCGGCCAACACTTCTCCGCGACCCAGGTCTGGTCCGCACTCGGCCCTCTCTCTCCTTTTTCGTCTTGAACGCCACCGCTCTCGTTGTTCCTCCTCTTGCTGCCTCCATCAATCTGCTGCATTCACTTTGCTTTCGTTAGATTCGGATTTCCCTTTTTCTTCCTCGGTGAAGTGATTTGCCTGTCTATTGCCGAACTGCTGCTGACCTGCTGTGCTCCGGCCAGGCCCCGGCTCGCGAGCCAAACGAGCTGGCTCGAGCTGGTGGTCGTGCCGAGCCGAGCTAGTTTTTTTTTTTTGGCTTGTTAGCTATAACAGCTCGTTTTCCTAACGAGCCAGACCGAGCCGAGCCGATCTTCATCTATCGCTCTATCGTATCGTTAAGTCATCACTCGATGCCTGGGCCTTATCTGGTGCGGTAGTGTCTAATGGGCTTTTCTACTGTTTCCTGGCCCATATGGTTTACCTTCGTTCTGACTTCTGAGTCGTGTCTTCTACCTCAACTCGAAAACACACAGGCACTCCGAACAGAACGCAGGCCGGCGGCGGCGGAGGCAGGATCAGGTTCCTCGCGGGCGGCGTTAAGTAGGGCGGCCACCCTACCTCGTCCTACTGGTAGGTCCGCCACGGAGCCGCTGGAAGGAGGCTTTGCGGCGATGGACCGGGTCGGCGGCGGCGAGAAGCAGCTGGAGGATTGCACAGTGGCCAAGTCAGTGATCTCCCCGCTCTCTCTCCCTGTGCCTCTCCCTCTCTGATTTATGGATTAGATAGTTAGTCCCTTCTCTCTGCGCCGAGATTCGCAGAGCTAGGAACCCATGTCGATTTGGTGACTATCCTCCCGCTGCTGTTGGTAGTAAGGGTGCATGACCGAGATTTATCTGTGCTTCTCATCCACTGTCTTGCTTATTAGGACGCTAATTGTTGCGGAGACGATAACTTGGATTCGTACACATCCTATGGTGTTGCGAGCGATGGCTTCTGTTCGAAATGTTTGCTACGATTTTGTAGCTTGCTTGTACTGATAGATGCAGTCTTGTGCACTGTGCTGCGTGACTGAAAAAGAAAAAACTGACGGCCCTTTGCAGTCATGCCTCTAGAAATATATATTTTTACAAAGATATAGCCGAATTTTGTTTGTGCACCTCAATCTCGTTGCGTGAAAGATAATTCGTTCTGTCAAGTCCCGTGTGTGCTGACTAGCTGAGAGGGGACTTATTGGGCTAAATGTACTTTTGAGTTACAAAGAAGCAGGGTGAGTGTCACAATCCTCAATGGTAAATCAGAAACTGTTTGTCATTGTATGAAATGGGCTGCATAATGTTTCTAGCTTGCTGGTGACTCAGTAACAGATTTTTAGGGGAAAAAAAGTTTATTGCTTATCACAGGGCCATGCACATCAAATCAAAAGCATTGTAAGAAGTTTGATCTAACATTGTCAGGTAAAAGAAATTTCAGATGCTTTGCTATAGTGTGAGTCTGCAGAAGGGGTAAGCGCTTGCCCCTGAAATAGAATTTATAATCAAGAAACCAGTAACATGTTTGATGCATTCTTCAGAATGAAACTGAGGCTGATGTCAGAAATGGGGAATGTGCACCTGTCAGGTTTTATAGATGATTTCAAGGAAAAAAATGTTGAATTAGAGTAATATAAGAGTTACAATATCTTATTTTTCTTAAAGAAAAAAAGGGGCTGTATTCTGGGCCATACAAGTTCCTCGGTATTGTTTGATTACTACAGAAATACAATTCAACTTCATTTCTCTACTTCTAAGTTTGGTAAACCTTTCAGCATTTTTACTGATTGTTAAGTACAGCTGGTACATCCATGATAGTTTGCATAGTAAAAGTCTGTCTACAAGTTTACGTACAATATGAGGTCTTCAGGCTGGATCTCAGTTTGAATTGGCGCAGCTGGTTTAGTTCAGACTGCAAATTCAGCCATTCTTTACTAAGGCATGTTTATCTGAATTCAGTTGGGAACTGCATTATATTTAAGTTTTCATGTTGTTTACTGTGTGGGGAATTTGTTGTTATATGGCTATCTAATAATCAGTTAGCATCCTTAGATCATAGTGGGGTACACGCCACTGGGAGATGGCTTGGTGGAGTCAGCTTGTAGGGAGGAGAGGTTAGATCATAAATAGGATTGTGGATTGTTTTTTGTTTATTGCTTTTCGTGAATGGCAGTGGGCATCTTCTCCTGAATAGAAATTGGTCACACAAGGCCCCAAATCAATATCTCTTCGTCCTCGAATATAGTGCATTGTAGAGATTTTAAGATAGATTAAGAGATATGTAATACAAAAGATGCATGTACCCTCATTTCATTTTCTAATCAATTTAATTCCTGCATGTATAGGTGCTACCATCTTCATGATTAAAGGGGGAAATGCTTGATAAATGACAAGTAAAAATACATTACCATCCGAATTTGTGTGCCTATTTAATGCAAAGTTGTCCTTTTGTCCCCCCAAATCCCTTGTATTTGGATACAGTTTTTGAATGCTTCTATACACTATATTCCAGGACGAGGGGAGTATCAGCTAGGCATGCATGATTGGTTTCAGATATCTAAGGAGAATATGAACACATATATCCCTGTTTGAATTTGAGTTAGATTTATTTATGTAAGTTCTTTTCTTTTTTTCCTTCTTGTTGGTGGGTCATTTTGGGTTTCAATATCTGTTCTACCCCAACTTGATTGAGACTTAACATCTTGTGCGAATGATACTATAATTCTAATTTGTTTGCTCCAGCCTCAAAACACTGTTCTCATGTCCACTGCAGTGCTCTAGGAACTTGGTTCTTCTCAGTTGCGGGTGCTCTTGTTGCTATTCCTGTGGGCATAAAGAGGAAATCCTTAGCTCCCCTGGTCTTCTTCGGCACCACAGGAACCATGCTGGACATTATCACCGGCATTAACCAGTGCGAACGAGAGCATGCTGAGCGGCAAATGAAGCTTTTGGAAGCCCAGAAACTTTCGGCCGATGCTTCAGCTGAGAGTGAAAGCTCTGATTCCTTTGGCAGTGCTGACAAGTGAAATACTTCTCTTGTTTTTCCTATTGATTAGGGTTCTTGCTCAGATGCCAATTTGACACCTTTTAATTTCTGAATATACCGTTCCGACTCCCCCAATAACGTGTAATTGTGTATTTGAGCAACGACCAGTTGTTTTCGCCTCATCAGTACATGTCAACTGCTAGTAGCCTAGTAGGGATTAGGCAATGATGGGTGCATACTCTGTGTTCGATGCTGAGACGTGTCTGGGCTAAAGTAAGTTCAATGGTATCACATCGGACGTTCGGATATTACTAGAAGGATTAAATATAAGTTAATTATAAAACTAATTACACAGGAGTAGACTAATTAGCGAGACGAATCTATTAAGCCTAATTAATTCATAATTAGCAAATGTTTACTGTAGCTTCGCGTTGTCCAATCATGGACTAATTAGAGTTAATAGATTTGCAAATTAGCTTCAATCTGTGTAATTAGTCTATGTTTAATACTCCTAATTGGTATCAAAGATTCGATGTGATAGGCTAAACTTTTGCCTGAGAGAAACAAACACAAAAACTGGAGATGTCACGGCTCCAAGGCACAAGCGATGCTCGGTGTTTGAATCTAGGGGCTCGGTGTCACGTCGGGTGTTACATGGAGGTGTCACATCGAGTATTCGGACAGTAATAATAAAATAAATTACAGAAGTCCTCAGTAATCCGCGAGACAAATTTATTAAGTCTAATTAATCCGTCTGTTGAATACCATAGAAAGGGGTAGCCTAACCAAGAACCGAAAAAATTACTTAGACCTTGTAAATATCGAAGCCAAGAGACAACCACGAGGTCTCGGCCGATTCTCCGATTCGCCCGAGTCCCACGCTGCAAAGCCTCGGACGAGGTACCAACTCTCCGCCTCGCCCGAGGCCCCCTCGCCCGAGGCCCCGCCCGGCCAGGCCTCGGACGAGGTACCGATTCTCCGCCTCGCCCGAGGCCCAGCCCGAAAGGCCTCGGACGAGGTACCGATTCTCCGCCTCGCTCGAGGCCGGCTCGGCAGCTACCCCATCACCGCCGCCTCGACCGGGACCTCACGTCCAACTAACGCAACCAACCACTCCCGCGATGTCAGCCGAACGACGGCTCGACACAGCGGAGTGACCGACGAGATGGGAGTCGCATCAACGCCATGCCGTCCGGGACGGGACGGGGCAGGGGTTACCGGCCGCTGTGCTCGACACTGTGCCCACGACTGACACCCATGCGGCACTGTGCTGCCTAACCCCACCTGCTCCGAGGACAGTGCGGCGTGGAGAGTCATGTCCGTGTCCCTGTAGCCTCGGAATCAGCATAAAAGACCAACGGCTCCCTCCGAGCCTCGGCTACCCGCCTCAGCACCCCTGTAGCCTCGGGACTCGCGCCCGCCGAGCCCCCCACAATGGTCCAGCCTCTGCACCGACGGGGCCTCGGCTCTCTACACTATCGACATACAGCGACCGGCATGTCGTCTACAGTCTGCGTCATGCCCTGTGTCAAGCCATCACAGGAGCCCCCACGTCGCACAAGATCAGGCGTGACCGGCGCGTCGCTCTAGTGCACCGAGGACAAGACCGCTCCGTCGACCATGCCGCCACAGTGACAAGCACAGGGCTCGGACATACCGCCTCCACCCACAAAACGCCACGTAGCGAACGCATGTATCGCCCCTGTCCTCCCCTTCAACTATAAAAGGGAGTGACCGGGGCCGTTTCTAGATACGCACTCACGGAGACATTGCTCAGATAGACACACACGCGCAAGCAACGAGCAACACTCTGTAATACGCACGCTCCCTCACTGTGAGAGATCAACATCTCAAACAACCCACGTCGCTCCACGTAGAGACCTGGGACTAACTCCCTCTCTCGCCCTGCTTGTAAACCCCTGCTACAAGTACCTCGGTGCAAGGAATACAAGATCGCTCTCTTAGACTGGACGTAGGGCACCTATTGCCTGAACCAGTATAAACCTTGTGTCTCTTTGCATCACCATCTCGGATTAGGGGCACGCAGTACACTTTCACTAGTTGGTTGACGATCCGCCGGTCCAAAACATCGACAGTTGGCACGCCAGGTAGGGGACATACTGCGTGTTAGCTTAATCATCCCAACAAGTTTCGGATGGCAGACCCCGTGCGACCACTGCGTCTTGGCACGGTGATCTGGTTCGGGAGCCTAGAGTTCATGTCTCTAGGATGTGAGTACGATATGGTACTCCTCACACCCAGAGCCCCACCGACCGACGACGACATCACGTACCAGCAGCCTAGGCGCAGACGGCGCCCGGGCCGCCACTCGCGTCACGCTCGCCAGGTACGACGTGGGCGGGACCACCCCGACACCCTGCGAGCTCAGGGCGACGCACCGCGCTCAGCCAGTATCCCACACCCGGCTGTTGGTACAGAGTCCCTGGTTGGGGACCTGTCCAGCTTAAGCCTGGGCAAGGGAAAGACGCCGGTGGCGCGCAGCAATGCCCCATCATCAAGCTCTGCCCCACCACCTCCTGAGGAATCGACTCTGGCGGAGCGGAGCCCAGTGATGGCACCATCCCTGTACCCCTTCGGGTTGAGCAATGCCGCCGCCTACGCTTCCGCTCATGCGGAGCCCTCAGGACGCCACGAACGTTTCACCCTCGACCTCTTCGCCACAACCTCGACCCACACCCACGCTGACTCCTCGGAGAAGGACGAGGTGTGGGCCAGAGCGGACTTCTCTGGGCTTCGCGACCCTGAAGCCATGCGCCGCTTCATGGCCGCGAGCGACTACTGCTTCGGCTACTCCGACTCCGATGACGAAGGCACTTACGATCCCACTCGTGAGTGCTTCTACGTCGAGCTCGGGATGCTGAGAGCGGGCGATGAGGACGAAGGGGCAGGCAATCGCTCCCCGCCCCGCGAGGGGGCAGCCGACGCCACACCTCCGCGCGTCGAACCCCCGGCAGTGCGGAACGAGAACCCCGCCCACGAGGAACTTCGACGCCTTGACTTGGAGCAGCTCCGTGAGCCTCAGGCCAAGGTCGAACAAGACCGACTCCTTCTGCAGCAGCTCCGAGACACTCTCGAGCGAGAGCAGCGGGGTCGCGGCGATGGCGGAGCAGCCCGGTGGAGGGCTCGCGACGTCAACCACCGCATCAACAACGATGAAGGGGGCGAGCAACCCCCTATCTTCAATCGCGCTAGCCAGAACGTCGCGGCAGCAGTGATGCTATTCCGGACAATGCTCGAGCCCTCTACCTCGGAGGGGCGACGGGTCCACGACGAGCTCCGAGACCTCCTCGAGACTGCCGCGGTACAGCAGGCTGAAAGTTCCGCCTCTCGACGGCCCGGGGGCGCCTTGGAACTACCCATGGCATCGCATCGGCAGGATAGAGAGGCCTCGGTTCGTCCCGAGCCTGCTCGGGCACCAACTGCCAACAAGGCCCCCTCGGTGCACAACCGCCTCGGCGACCGATGCGAGGCGCAAGGCGACCACGATGTGGTTAGCAGGCGACCGCACCACGACAACGAGGTGCAAGGCTACCACCTGCACCGAGGCAGCCGCTACGATAGTGGGGAGGACCGCCGTCCTTCTCCTGGGCCGCCTGGCCCTCGAGTCTTCAGCAAGGCCATCCACGGCGCTCACTTCCTGGCCCGGTTTTGGCAACCGGCCAACCTCGCAAAGTACAGTAGCGAGACCAACCCCGAGCTGTGGCTGGTCGATTACCGCCTGGCTTGTCAGCAGGCGGCGTGGACGATGACCTGCTCATCATCCGCAACCTCCCCTTGTTCTTGTCAGACTCGGCGCGAGCCTGGCTCGAACACCTCCCTCCCTTGCAGATCCACAACTGGCGCGATTTGGTAAAGGTCTTCGTTGGGAATTTCCAGGGCACATACGTGCGCCCCAGCAACTCCTGGGACCTCAAGAGTTGTCGCCAGAAGCTGGACGAGTCTCTCCGAGACTTCATCCGACGCTTCTCCAAGCAATGCACTGAGTTGCCCCGCGTCGATGACTCAGAAATTGTCCAAGCATTCCTCTCCGGCACCTCCTGCCGAGACCTGGTCCGAGAGTTAGGCCAGAACATACCGACCATGGCGGCCGCACTCCTCGACATCGCCACCAACTTTGCCTTGGGAGAAGAGGCTATCGGGGCCATCTTCCCCGACAATGACGCCAAGGGGAAGCGGAGGGACGAGGCCCCCGGGGCCTCGGCCCCCTACCTCCTCAAGAAAAAGAAAAAGGGTCGCCAGGGGAAGCAGGAGGTCCTCAAGGCCGGTCTAGTCGCAGCTGCAGATCGCAAGAATCCCCGAGGCCCCGCCAGAGGCCCCGGGCTCTTCGATGACATGCTTAAGAAGCCCTACCCTTACCACCAGGGCCCGGTGAAGCATACCCTCGAAGAGTGCACCATGCTCTGGCGTTACTACGCCAAGCTTGGGCTCCCCAACGACGAGGCCACGAAGAAGGACGCCGGCGATAGGGACAACGACAGGGACGATGGGTTCCCCGAGGTGCACAACGCCTTCATGATCTTTGGCGGGCCTTCAACGTGCCTCACAGTGCGTCAGCGAAAGAAGGAGCGCGGGGAGGTCTTCTCGGTTAAGGTGGCCACTCCCTAGTACCTCAACTGGTCTCGGGAGGCGATCACCTTTGATCGGAATGACCACCCCGATTATGTCCTGAACCCCGAGCAGTACCCACTCGTCGTCGACCCGATCATCGGCAACACCCGGCTCAATAAGGTGCTGATGGACGGAGGCAGCGGTCTCAACATCCTCTACGCCAACACCCTGGAGCTCCTGGAGCTCGACCAGTCACGGCTCCGAGGCGATGCCGCGCCCTTCCACGGCATCGTGCCAGGAAAACGCACGCGACCCCTCGGGCGCATTGACTTACCCGTCTGCTTCGGCACTCCCTCCAACTACCGCAAGGAGATCCTCACCTTCGAGGTGGTTGGGTTCAAGGGGACCTATCACGTCATCCTGGGGCGCCCGTGCTACGCCAAGTTCATGGCAATCCCCAACTACACCTAT